CATTATCGGAGGTAATACGGCTGCAGCACGAGGAGAAATAAAAGCATTCTTTGGCTGAAGCGCACACTGTAATGCAGGGCTGAAATGAAGACTAAGGCTGCGGTCACATGCTCAGCCTAAAGCCCGGTTAAATCCCGATCTAGGCCATTGGCCTAGTGAAGTGTACATAGGCCAAGATCGGGATTAGATCCGGGCTTTAGGTGCTATGTGATTGCGACAACTGGGCTTGAGCACGGTTGCTGCAGTCGTACTTGGGCACGCTTGGAAAAGGTGGGCCAGAGCACGCTTGTAAAGCCCAGATGAAGAGGGTCAATGTTGGGAGTGGCGGGAAGAGAGGTGGTGGGGATGTGATATTGTGCGTTACATTACAGGGGCGACAGTAGCTCAGTTGGTAGAGCATTGGCCTTCAGGCCTGAAGGTTGTGGGTTCAATTCCCACCTCTACACCTTCTCCACCGACTTCCACTGATGACTGCTGTTGTTGTGTCCTTGGGCAAGACACTTAACCCCACTTTGCCCAAAGCCCCCACTGAAAGATCAAGGCTATGCTCACACTCAGAGAGCAGCCGTCCTCCTGTGGACTCACCACCTGCAGAGGGTCAGTGAGGGGCTGGTGCTATGAGACTTGGGTGGCATCTCTGACTGCCACCCCCCTGACCCAGAAATGGATTAAAGGGTAGAAAATGGATGGATGGACATTACGTCTTCCTGCTGTGCCCGTTGTGATGTGCTTTTTCACATTTAGTTGTCAGAACACACCAACATTATCCTGCTTGGCTCCGGTGGCTCTGCTCATACGCCCCACACTATTTATTCTTTCATTCTCATTCATTCATTTCTCAGAGCTTACGCTCTTTACTCCAAGGCACGCTCCCGTGTCTGCGGCACACACACAAACCGCTGAGTTGCATCATTTTCAGGAAAGACACATCTCACACTTGCACATTGATCTGATGCAAACAAAGCGATCCATTCTCAAGCTGTTAGAACTACAGTAGCAAAATGTAAACAGGAAGAGAAAAGGAAACTTGTCACTGAAGTTAGTATTAGCGCCACCAGCTGGACCAAGCGTTATACTACAGCACAGTTGGTCTGGCACGTTTGAGAAAATAAACCCTTCTGACCGAGGGCAGTCTTCACACCCCTGTGGCGACTATCCAGGCCACTTGACCTAGTTCATTTGATAAAAGCTATGTGACTTTACCCGTCACATTACGTCTTCCTGTGACGTGCATTTTCACTCACTTTTCTCCCTGCAATCGCATACTTTCCATATTCTCCCTGCTTATGTTACACCTTTCATGTAGGCCCCCCGGATCATGTTCGCTCCAGGGATAAAGAGAAGCGTTTCCCACGGGGAGAACTCACTTCTGTTCTGACGTTCGCTGTCACAGTGTGGTGCTATTGCAATAACACTTCAGACATTCAAGAATCAGACTTAATTTTATCGCCAGAACACACCAACATACATTTGTATTCTCCATGGCTCCAGTCGCTCTGCTTGTTCATTAATTTCTCAGTGCTTACGCTTTTTACTCAAAGGCGCGCTCCTGTGTCCGCCCAGGTGCCCGCACAAGAGAAAGACACACTTCACACTTTGACTTTGATTGCAAAGAACATATTTCATGCTCGAGCTGTTGGTCACAGCAGCCGAGTGTAAACAGGAAGAAAAACAAAAACTTAACTTGGACCGAGCGTTATACTACACCACAGTCTGGCACGGTTAAGAAAATTAACCCTTGTGACCGCAGGGATTTTCACACCACTGTGGCGACAATCCGGGCCACTTGGCCTAGTCGGTTTGTTAAATTCCATGTGACCGTGCCATTATTGACAAAACATGCTTTTTAGGTCTGCTTTTCTCTCTGACGCCATTTTCCCTCTGTTCACTCTACTTCTCTTTCCCAAACCTCTCATAGCCCTTGCCAGTCCTGAGTGTCATTCATCAAGTCCTTTGAGTTGGCCTTTCAAAAAATATTTTTTGACCCTTGGGGCCCCGCGACAATGTGGCAGTGGAGACGCAAGCATTAGTCCTACACGGGACTAAAGCCTGCGTCACACTCAACCAGCACTGAAGTCAGAATCGGTGTACGCCCGGCGGAAGTAATCCCTCAGGTCACTCACAGGACTTAAAGTGGGGGTAATTAATTTTCAGACCACAAAATTGTGTATCGTAAAAAAAATCCATGCATGTAACTAGTTCCTCCCTCTTAAAAATCTTCAAATACGTGATGCTCTTGCATTAAATAATACTATAATAATGTATTGGTTTTATACAGCACTTTTCAGGACACCCAAAGACGCTTCACATGACATATTCTTTCACTCCATACATAGTGGCAATAAAGTATTACTGTAGCCGTAGTTTCTCTGGGGCACACTGACAGAAGCGAGGCAACCAGTGTGTGCCATTGGCCTGTCCGATCACCACCAACTATTCACACATACACCAGACTCATTTTAGGCAATGTGACACAACGACTGCCCTGCACAGCTTCAGGGGTCTGAGGGGATCTGGCTTTCGCATGTTGAAGACAGTTACCTGATTTTTACAATACTATTTTTTCTGTTGTGACACAAGTTATTGTTTATGGTTAATTACGTTGCTCAGCTTCAATTGACAAACAACCACTATTCAAGGTTTAGATAGATGAGTAAATTACCTGATTAACAACAAAGTTCCTGCGATTTGACATTGTCTCTGTAATGAAATCTGTGGGCGGGTCTTTCACTGTGTGTCACATCATGTATTGTTAGCTACTTTCTATCTATCTATCTATCTATCTATCTACCTATCAATCTATCTATGTGGTATATTAAAAACCAAAAAATTTAAAACGCCTTGGCTTTATCCTTTGAATCTGAAGAAGTCATTTGTCGGTTTATTGTTTAGGACTTTGATGCTACAGAACCAGCCATTAGTGAGATCAACAAAACATGAAGAAATGCAACTTGAAAAAACAAAAACACACACTGAGTTAAATGTTTGAATAACAAGTATTTAATTGCAGTTTGATCAATATCAACAAAGAGCTTTTCCGTGAACAACAAAGGGACAATTTACCGCTGAAGATGGCATTAGACATTTCTGAATATGTCATGTGCCATTTCTGTCGTGTGTGGTGTGTGTGTGTGTGTGTGTGTGTATTGTGTGTGCCTGTCTGTGTGTAAATTGTGTTTGTGTCTGTGTATGTGTGTACATTAAGATAAGATAAGTTAGACCTTTACTCGTGTGTGTGTGTGTGTGTGTGTGTATGAGTGTATGCGTGTGTCTGTGGCGTAATCATGCTTGTAACCACCAGCGATGTGCCAGAGGTTTCAAAAACACAAACTTCTTTTCCCTTTAGCCTTTGTACTGTATGTCAAGTAGCAGCTTTATGTAGCATACCACACTATATATATATACAGTATATGTGTGTGTAGTTCATGTCGAGATTTGGCGTCGTGTGTGCCGTGTGTGCATTAAGTAGCGCTGATCAGAGAGCGCCTTGGCCCGCGTGGAGCTGAGGTATGCCCGTGCTGCCTGTCTGATGCTCTATTTCTGTCGCTGTGTCTTCATGCCTAACCAGCCCCTACCACAGCAAGAATACTGCTCTAATTGGGTTGGCTCCTGATCACATGCACTCTGATCCCATTCCTCCACTCTCTCCCTGCCCACCCACCTATACCCCCTTCAAAACTCCCACCCATTAACAGGGATCGAGGGCGGCAGAAGCTGCTCTGAAGTCATGTTCTCGTACTGTTGTTCCTATACTTGGCTTAAAGATGGAGATAAAAAAGAAAACCAGTTGAGGGGCTACTTTAAAAGGCCTTATTCTGGTTTTCTTATGGGACCATTCTGTCGCCGCCTACACGCCTACGCCCTGTTGCTCCACGGCGGTGTATGAGTTTGTTTATCCTCACGCTGACATAGAGCGAGCTGACTGATAGCAACAACTGCGTAGCCCAGGGAAAACTGAATCATATTTTATTTTAGGAAGCAATTGGATTTTGTATCACAGGGTGGGTTGAAATGGGAAATAATAAAGAGATTTTTTTTTTCTTGTTTTTATTGTGTGGCAGATTTTTTTGGTCGTTCAACTGTGGCAATAAATAAGTAATAAAACTGTACAACAACAAATTACTTGGAAGAGGTAAAGAATCAAATCTTATATAGTGGCACTTTCAAACTTTTATGTTTGAAAGCAATTGTGTTGCTGCTGCGTTGCCTGACATAAATAAATACATAATAAATAATTAAATTACTGGAGAGAGCATAAATGATTCCAACTATACCACTTGTATAGTATGTAGAATGTAGAATGTAAATGTGGCTGTCTCAATGAAAAGATACTTTCTATGCATGGTCAGAAGGGGACACATTTAACACACACCCTCAAACAACCCTGACATCTAATCTATGCTCTGCAATCAGGGAAAATACAAAAAAAAAACAACACAGACCAGCATTTAGCCTTCCAGTTATACGAGAGGTCTATTAGGACTTTTCATTTGCATAGTGTTTATAAATGGCATTGGAAATGCTTTCCGTGTGAGGCCGAATGGCAACATCGCGCCTTCCTTCTAATAGCTTCACAGCTTCAGACCAAGCCTCTATTTTCAAACAGCAGGGTTGGTAGTAAGAACGCTAACTTTGAAGAAAGTTGAATCATGTATTAAAAAAGGCTAGATAAGGGTGAAGTGTTGAGGTTAGTTACAACAAAGCACAACAAAGGGGTGTCGAAAGCCAGAAACCTGCTGAAACCCAACAGAAAACGTCAGATTGTGTGTTTTGATTGGTTTTAAATTTTGTCAATGTGAAGCACTTTGGGTTGCACTCTGTGTTAACTGTGCAATAGAAATAAATGTTGATTGATTGATATTTTCTGAGATGGTTATTTGTGCTACTATAAACCCAAGCCCAAACAACAGCAACAACAAACAAAAGTCAAAGAGCAACGTGATAATTGATCCATTGCACAACCATAACTTCACTTGGGAACGTTTGGAAAGTTAGCCGCAATGTGGTGTGTGTGCTTTTCTCCGGTGGAAGTTCTTGTGAGCGTGCAATCTCAGCCCAGACAGCCCCATGTGAAATGTGGCACAAGGTTGGTTCTTCTTTAAGACATGCCTTCCTTCTCTACTCCTGTATCTGCCAGTGTGTACATTTGTGAAGTGTGTGTGTGTGTGTGTGTTTGTGTGTGTGTGTGGGTGCACATTGGGCCTTCCCAGTCCAGCTCGGGCCGTCCTGCCGCAGCTGTCCTCTGGCATGTCACTGGGCGCGTCACTGGGGCTTGTACAGTGGACCACAGTGAAGAGAAGAGGCTTGGTTTCTCCCATTCAGAATACTTCCACTGTCCCAGGACCACCACTACCGTACCACCATGGCGGACCAGTACCAATATAATGCCAACGAGGAGAAGATTCTGAAGGACAGCCACACCAAGGAGATTGATTTGATAAACAGGGATCCAAAGCTAATCAATGAAGACGTTGTGAAGGTTTGTGTTTTTTTACGTGAATATATATTAGAGCTTGCCTGTTCAAAAAGCAGACATTGAAATGGGGCAGTAGACATAAGCAAGTCCCAAAATAGATTTAGAGGCTATTTATGTGCAGAACATTGGGTTGTATACCAGTTGCTAGAGCTGCAGCTGAAACCAACACTGCCCACTATAATGTTTAATTTTGGATCAACAACATTATATAGTGTTTGTTGCTATGTTGGAATCAGAAAGCCCCAAAGACCAAATTACAAGTTTCAACGTGTATCCATTGATCGCAGAAAAATGCACAGCAAGTAAAGTGACAATGGGAGTCCAAGCGTATTGAATACAAAATCTGATAAATTATGTGCATAAATAATATCCACAGATCAATGTGATGTTTTCTGAAGTTCTTCATCCAATTTACTGCGGATCAAGTAAAAGCAGCTATGAGTCAGCCTTTACTAAACGTGTTAAATTTGATGTCATATTAAAAGAAAATAAATAGAAGTAGTGTGATGCCTCGTGAAAGCAAATAACCCGAGCATGTCCACTCATTCATTCCAAGGATCAGCCATATACAGAAATGGATGCATGGGAAGTCCAGGCATGGCTGTTGTTTTCCATACTGATGCAGACTACTGGTGTGTGGAGAAAATAACATGTTTTGTGACTGTGGAGTTAATTAACAATCCCTCAGCGATTGAAGATTCTGAGTTGAATGAATTGGATGATGAGTGCATTGTGCATTTTGATGAGAAGTCGGACGCTAAAATTATACATTATAAAGGTGCACTGTGTGATTTTGCCAGGGCTGTAATAACAATTAGCTTGCTGACAACTTTGCTGCCAACTGCCCATTTGATTAACTGATCCGTTGTTTGCATCCCGACAGGCCTGTAATTAGGCATTTTTATGTAGATTCAACAAAAACAAAAATTGACAACATTTTATTGTGGACACTTTTGGGCAAAATTGGTTGTTTGTGTAAAAAAACAAAAACATGTCAACAGTAAACATTTTCTGGGGGACAATATTTAGGCCAAGGATGAGGGGTCTCAGTAGTCTAATCAGGAGCAGGTATACTGTAACTAGCATTATCATTCCAAAAATGTCTCTTTGACTTTACAATTTGCAAATGCAAGAAAGTGTTTAAGCCTTTTCCGTCTATTTCTGCAGAAATGACTGCTCTGTTGGGAGTCATAAAACCTCTTCACAGCATTCTTACAACTCTGTGATGTTCAAAATGATTAACTGATTCTAAATTACTTGTTTCAGCCCAAAATATGTTTTTATGTTATGTCATGGAGTTTTTACTGTTTTGCTCTAAATGTGTAGTCAGATTTCCAAAGAGTTGTGGCGTCATGGAACATTGCACGATGTCATGGTGACAAGCAGGTGACAGACTCTGAAGAAAAAGTCCTGCATTTCCCTCTGCATCTCAATGATCATACATGTGTGGTGCATTGATACCTATAGCTTTACCAACCCTGAGCTAAGACATAATTCTCTTTTCATTGTCGTTGTCTTATTAGTAGCCGCCTTAAAGCCTACACACACGTCCAAGTCAGGGAACACAAAAGCGACAGTGCACCTTAAGGGATGCATGGTAATGACCCTGGCTGTTTAACATTCTGCTCAGGTGGAGTTCGAGGATATCATCGCTGAGCCTGACGGCACACACAGCCTGGATGGGGTCTGGAAACTTAGCTACACCACCTTCACCGTCTCCAAGTACTGGTGTTACCGCATCCTGTCAGCCATCTTTGGGATCCCTGTGGCCCTTTTGTGGGGCTTCCTGTTCGCCTGCATCTCCTTCTGCCACATCTGGGCTGTGGTTCCGTGCATCAAGAGCTGCCTGATTGAGTCTCAGTGTGTCGGCCGAATCTACTCGCTGTGCATCCAAACATTCTGCGACCCATTTTTTGAGGCCTTGGGGAAGATTTTCAGCAGTGTGCGTGTGGCGCTGAGAAAGGAGGTTTAGTGTTGACATACCTTATTACATGCAAGCCATAGATGAAGTTATTACCCCGGCCCTCACGCCCTCTGCTTACGCTCCCCCTGCCTCTTGTCAGTCTTCAGAAGTTCAGTGACAGCTGCTGCCCAGGCGTGGTGCCCTGACAGCTCTGGGCCGCCCAGGGATAAGAGGCGCACACACCCCGCCTCTGACTGAAGAAGACTCCAATGGCTACAATACGGGACCTCCCTATATGGATATTCAAGCCTTTATATCATTTATTTTATATTGCCCCTTGAAAGAGGTTAGAAAATGCTTTGTTTGAGCAGCTTTTTGTTAGGCCTGACCCACATTGCTTGGGGGAAAAAGTACCATTTCAAATGATTTTTCTTGAGCAGAGGTGGCGACTAACAACGTAGATTTACTTCAGTACTGTACTTTACCTGGTACTTCACTTTAATTAAAAGCTCAAAAACCTGTACTTTTTACTCCTTACGACTAAAAATGACTAGTTACTGTGCAGATGGTGACAGGACTTCATTGTGTTAGCCATGCTTCTGAGTAAATCAAATCATTGGGGTCAGCAGTGCCTCTAAGTCCATACAACCATTTGGCTGAAGTTATCACATTTATTGTTGATTGTCATATTCTCTGCCAGTGTGGCTTTCTACAACGATCAGATGTTGTTTAAAGTGTGTGAACCCAATGTGTAAAATGTCTTAAACAAACAAGTGTACAAACCCTAATACTTTTATTTAGGTAAGGAGAAGATTTGGATGTTGTTTCGCCAGAGTTGGACCTGGTAAAACTACAGTAGATGCCAATTCTAGTACTGTTGCCACCTCTGATCTTGACTGATAAGCAAAAGTACCAAGACATTAGACACTAGTATGGTTATGGTTATGGTATAGAAGTGTTTGATCCCAGACAAATTGGCATCCTAACTCTCTGTAATCTTTTTTTTTTTTTTTTTTTTTCATTCCTCACAAATTACTTACTGTATGTATTTGTATTTGCAATTGCAAGTCCTGGTTTGTGTAAATACTGTACTGAACATCAAGTCTCTAGAGCCACTTCCACACATCTTCAATCTTCTGACATAAGCATAGATACTACTTCAAAAATGTCGACATCTGTTCAAAGAATTTTTCCTGCAGACTGGTTAAGCAAACGAGATTTACTGATTGTGAGGTAAAATTTTATTGATGTTAATTCAATTTGTCGTCTAAATATACTCCCTCCACAGTCCTGAAAGGCATTAACTTACTGTACAACCTGCTCCTCAAATTGTTTATTGACTCTCCCATTCTTCCCCGAGGTATTTATGGTCGAACAGATGCAAAATATAAAGTATGGATAGGACTCCTGAAGAACACTGAATATGGATGTTGTAAAAATGATTTATGCAATATATTTGACACGCAGGTATACATGAATAAAACATGCCCTCGGATCTACTGAGTCTAATGTAATTTATTAAGTATAAAGTGATTGAATGTACAACTTTCCCATTGTGTTCACTTCGGACACCAGACTGGGGATCGGGTCCATTATTTCTCCATCTCCAGTCACGTAGAAGCAAAAAGCATGGATTTTCTATTATAAGAATGAAAAGTGGACTTGGAATAAAAAGTGTCAGAATTGGAAATGGAAAGAGAGTTTGAAGTGTTGTTGCAAATGGAAAACAGCAGGTGTTAAGTTTGGATTGAATGAGGCTTTTCACATTGTTTAAAAGAGCATTTATTTGCTGTGTTTCTTTGCTACAGCTCAGACATGTTTGTGTAGCTCCTGCAATATGTGCGTCACACAGAGCTGATATCAGATCATTTCATATGAAGCAATAAAGACAACGTTGTTTATCTAGCACAGCATTTCTTTGTAATCTCCACCAGAGAGTAACATAATAACCAGGGTTTGTTTGTTTATTAAAAAATAATAAATAAAAAAGTTCTGGGTGGAATTTAAAAAAAAATCACTTAAGATCAAAAATGTGGCAAGGAATAAAGAATTACAGGGTTATCCGGATCACCATCTGGATCCATGAACTTCTTTAAATAATAGAACTGGTACTTTCATGGCAGGTATGAACTCTGTGATTGCTTTTTTTTAAATCAAATTGTACGTATTGCATGCATTGTATTTATTATTTTCTCCCTTTAAAGCTGGGGTGTGTAATCTCCTGAAACCAAAAGACTGCTGTGAATCATATATATATATTTTTATATATATATATAATATATATATATAAGATACTAAGATACTGCGCAGAACCCTCAAGCTCCCAGGCCTCTGGTAGAGGACCCGAGCTTAGAGAGGGATAACCGCCCGCGGAGGGCCAAAGGTGAGTGGACAATTTATTTATATATATTATGTGTGTGTGTGTGTGTATATGTGTATATATATATATATATATATATATATATATATATATATATATATATATATATATATATATATATATATATATTATGTGTGTGTACTGTATATTTACTACTAGAGCCCATCAACACCATTATTGATTATTGTTGATTTTATTAGCATGGTCTACACTTTCACTGAAAAAATTACCAGATTGAAGGCCAGCGTTGGTCTCTGTGCCAAAGTCCTGATGGCCTGATTTAAGACTTCACGAGATCCTTTCTGATGATTCTTACACATTGAGAGTATCAACATAAAAAATACCATGCTTAAAGGAGAACAGTAGTATGCCTCCAGGTCCTTCTTTAATATTCAATTAAAGACATTATTTTATACTGAGTTGACTATGTATGTATGCTGCAATATTGATTCGACTTAATAATAGAAAAAAGTTCATTATCTTGAATACAGAATTTCATAGTTGTCTATTCCCATAGCCACTCTGCTCAGCAGTGGATTGTTATTTGAGTGTTTGTTATCACCAGGGTCTGTCTGTTAACAACACAACTAAAAGCTATGGCTGGATTTTTACATGACTTCAGGACAAATGATAGGATCACTCACTCACTTTGTCAGGGGAATATGTTACACCTAGATTGAAACTTCATAAAAGATCTTGTTGCCTAATCCCGTACTTTCTTCCAATGGTCCTGTACTTGAGCCCTGATCATACTCTGGGGAAGCCCGACAGGAAGTCCAAAGGATTGTGCTGCCAAACCACACAGGAACCGTCAACATCAACTGATCCAAACTTATCCAACTTGACAAATGACAAAAACAATATTCTCTTTAAAAAAAATGTATTTATTCATATTAATATATTTTTCATCATAAAGTTTTACATTTACCGTAGGTCAAGAAACACAATGGATTCCAAAATGAGCTTGTAAATATTTTCACTAGTCTGAGTGTTTCTTAATCTTGTGGTTCCTTCCTGAACTCCCACAAATCTAGGTCATTATGTCTGGGCGTTCCACCATTAAAAGGCTTTACTTATTTATCTTTTGTTCATGTTTCATCCTGCAGTTACTCCCGGGGCAAAAATGTGCAAAAGAAACGGCCAAACACAGACCTCAAAGTATCTAATGAACTCACCAGGAGCAATCAAAACCCATTACCTCTTAATTCACCCGCATATCTTATTAATTATGGAAACAAGAACCTTTTTACTAAAGACTTTGCTAAAGAGATTATTTTAGCATTTTGACAGACCGCTCCAATTATATGGGGGCTTACTTTGCAAAAAGGAAAACACTCGAAATCTTTCTTTCTCTACATTATTACTATAAAATAAATACAACACAAACACAATCGCATGGCCTCGTATAGGGTGCATTCACACTTGAATTGGTCTCAGTTTGAACCTGGTGCAAACGTATATTACATTTGGTCTTTTCAAGTTTCACGCTCGTAAAATCAGTGAAAGAACTAACTCTTTCCTTATTGTACATTTTTCCTTCCAGCTGTCACTCTTAATATTATATACAGAATTCTGAATTGACACAGGAAATACAATGTTAATGTGGCAGGCTCTTGTTAGATTATCATGTGGATTGAAAAAGAATTCATCCCCCGTGAACTGATACATGTTTTGACATATTTTTAACTAAAATCTACCAAGTGGGGTTTGTAAAAGTAATAATAGCCCTCTCCTTTTACTCTAATATAAAGGTTATGTTCTTGTGACATCACAACATTCCAAACAGCCTATGGTTCAAAACTGCAGCAGAACAATATTTCCTGGTAACTATGATAACTGTACCATACTTACTATAGTTACTGTCAAAAGTTACCTTAGTTACTGTCAAAAGTTATCTTAGTTACTGTCAAAAGTTACCATCGTTACTGTCAAAAGTTACCATCATTACTGTCAAAAGTTACCATAGTTACTATCAAAAGATACCTTAGTTACCAGCAAAAGTTACCATAGTTACTGTCAAAAGTTACCATAGTTACTGTCAAAAGTTACCATAGTTACTGTCAAAAGTTACCATAGTTACTGTCGAAAGTTACCATAGTTCCTGTCAAAAGTTACCATAGTTACTGTCGAAAGTTACCATAGTTCCTGTCAAAAGATCCCGTAGTTACTGTCAAAAGATACCTTAGTTACCAGCAAAAGTTACAATAGTGTGAGATTTCATAACACTTTGAAGCAACTTTTGTTAAAGTTAAACTTATCATTCTATCAATGTGCAGAAGCCTGTACTTTTCCCTTGTTTTGTCTATCTGAAGGCCAAGCTACATGGCACCGTGGAAGCTGCTGATTGGAGGTCTCCATGCCTCCGCTCTGTATAATACACTTGCATTCTCTTGTATCTGTGATCGTGTGCTTTGTTCGTGCTGTCTCTACCATCGACAATAAAACATGTCTTCTGTCTGAATGTAAGACGCGATCCCAGACTTTGTCATCTTCTTCAATAGTTACTGACAAAAGATACCTTAGTTACGATCAAAAGTTACATTAGTTACTGTCAAAAGTTACCATAGTTACTGTCGAAAGTTACCATAGTTACTGTCAAAAGATACCTTAGTTACTGTCAAAAGGGACCATAGATATTGTCAACAGTTACCATAGTTACTGTCAAAGTAAATAGTGCTATACTTAGTGTTCAACGATTCACATGAAAGAATGTCGGCATTGCCATTGTTTCATCAGACATATCTCATGAAGGTATGACACATAAAAAATCAAATGATTTGATTTGTCTAGAAACGGTGACAATTTGTAAGCACAATGCATAATGTTGGTCAATAGAAAGAACACTTTTTTTTCAACATGTATAAAAAAAAGGGTAATGGTACCTCCCATGCACCTAAAACAGAAATCTAGAACACAAAGGCAGCCAATTGTTATGATTTAACTCATTCAGGCTGAATACTTTCCAAAAAGTCAATGTTCATGGGGTATTCATACTTTTTCAAACCACTGTATAGTCCGGTTTCCAGAAGCAGTGAAAAGCGTCACAGAGAATAATCATCAAGCTAGAAATGTGTGGAAAAGCATGGAATTCTTCTTTGTCTTATTACAAACTATAACATTGTACATTTAAAACAGTATCCACCAAAATAAAGTGTATTAATCTAAAATCTCTCAAATCTGCGTCTGATTCCTTCTGACCATAAAGGAAAGTTCCGGACTCTTCATGAAATATAATGTTTTTTCTGTGACTCATCTGTGAGCGATGTGTAAGGATTCTTTATTTGTGAGAATAAAAAGTAAAGCGATGTCTGGACGACCATCTGATAGACACCATAATGAGCAAGTGTTATGCTCAAAAAATTCCCCTGACGAAATATGCGTCAAATAGTCTCGCTGGACCTATTATTTACAAACTGGTCCCACAATAGAAACAAAATAAATATGAGTAAAATACAGAATTGTAAAGCACCGTTCAGGCCAAAAACACAGCTCACCAAAACGCACTTTTGATAAATCTGCCATGTGAGTTTGGTGGACCTCTTCGATTCCACCCTGAGCCTTTTCTGAGTGGAGTTTGCATGTTCTCCCTGTGTCTGCGTTGGTTTCCTCCAGGTGCTCTGGTTTTCCCTGCCACTAAAAACATCTCCGATAGGTCTGACATGCGCCCCCTGTATGGTGACCCCGCTCCCATCACTGCGTGGAACGAGAGGACAATTGCGGACGAATGTGCCATAAATATTAAAAATTACTTACTTACACAGCATTTTTTTCCACATTGACCCGCGGAGAGGCAGTGATTGGTCTGAACACGGCTAAAGCTTGAAAACAGTAAACATCTAGAACACCGCCTTAAATTATATGAGATAAGAGAACCTTTTTTCGTCCCACAGTGGGGAAAATGCCTATGTCAATGTGACTGTTAATGTGTGTGATTGCACCCGGGTTTGATGAGGATCCCGAAAAATCAGTCTGAGGTGCGGTCTATGTGCTGGAGGTCTGGGTGATGCTGCGCTGGCTGCTGGTGGTCTTGATGACGAAGGTGGAGGAGAGGCTCTTGTGGCTGGAGCTGAAGTCGCGGTCGCAGTGGCACTGGGAGGACTTGAAGTAGCGCTGGGAGCAGCAGGGAAAGCTCTGCCGCAAGTCCTGAAACAAGTGCCCCGCGAAGCACATGTAGATCCAGGGGTTACAGCAGCTGTTCAGACTGGCCAGCAGCATGGAGATGATGAACAGGGTCGCTATGAGAGGGGGCACAAAGACAAAGGCACAGGTAAGGCATCGGCAGAGGATAAGAACGGGAGGGGGCACTTTTACTGACACGATTGGAAATTTTGAAGTAACGTGTATTCAATTCAATGTTTTTCTTGTACAGCCCTAAATCACAACAGTATTTGGTTCGGGTAAGGGTTGGGTTTGGGTTAGGATCTCAGAGGACTTTACAAAACCGTCAAAATTGCCAACACAGATCAGTGAATCCAGCAGTTAAAACACGAGAAATGCAATGATGAAAAAAACATAGAGACGTTAGTTCATAAGGGGCAGATGACAAATGTCCATAAATGTTGTTGAGTGTCCTGGATCAACGTGTAGTAACCAAAAAAAAAAACATAGTAGTCACTCTTCTTGCCACTAACTAATGCGCAAGTGTGCAAAGATTCAAGTCAAAACGTACGATTATGATTAGGGTAATTTAATGAACATCTATTCGTCCATATGTCCATATTCATCAGAACACTAACACCGCAAATCACCAAAAAAACAAATAAGTAAGAAAAGGTGTCTATGGACCTACCTAACTCCCAAATGGATATTTATGGTAGTGCGCCTAAACCAAAACCTCCCATACCACAACAATGTATAGATACACAAATGAAATAGTTATAAATTAAACTTGCAATTAGACCAAATGATGGGACATGTTGCAATGTTATACTTTTTTATTTGATGCTTTTCTTTGATGCTAGAGTTATAGATTTTGTTTTATTTTAATTAGTATAGCTATTGTTCACATGTCTTGTTCACTTATCTGCTCCTCATTCTTACTGTTCTGTATTTTGTGATGCAGCACTGAAAGAGGAGTGTGAATCTCTACAGCGGGCGGTGAAAACAGCCCAGTGCGTTATCGAGGCTCCGCTCTCTACCCTCGAGAACATAGAGCCATCGTGCTTTAACGGCGGGCTCGTAACACCGTAAAGGACTCCTCTCCTCCTGCACACAGACTCTTTAGCCTTCTGCCCTCTGGCCGCCCACCGCTATAGGAGCCTCAGGGCCAGGACCAGCTCAGGGATGTATTTGTTTTTGTTTTTTTATCACAGAGCGGCCACAGTCATGAACTCTCACTCTGTAAAAGCATGTGAGATGCACTTTAATGTAATGTAATAAAGTGAGTGTATGTACTAGCAATAGCAGCTTCGTACAGTCTTGCATATATGCTTTTCTCTATATATTTATCCGTGTTCTAAATATGATGTTGTAAATATGATGTATACCTGCGCTATTGCACTAATGGTTAGATGCTTAACTGCATTCCGTTGCATTGTTCTGATGACATTGTTATGACAATTAAGTTGAATCTAATCTAATACAAGCAACTAAATTGACCGCAACATAATGTTGCAATTTTTTTTAAGTGCCTCAAAAGTTTTTTATTTTGTGAGTTTTCCATTCCCAGATTAAGTTTACAACAAGAATTTAGTTAATTAATTCCTTGAGACTCTGTAGGTGTTTTCACATGGACTGGACTCTGCTCAGTTTGCTCGTTCTCGCATTCGCATAGTGAGGGGTCTCAAGATGCTAAAGCACGGCAAGGGTGAGCTCACTCTCTGACACGGCTTACCACACCTCCCACACAGACATTGAAGGAAAGACACAGTACTTATGTGAACGACACAATAAGCTGAAGACAATTAAGATAGACATGATACACGGACATGGGACATAAACATGAAGGGAGTCCAAACGTTTACAGCAACAATCTACGCATTAAGCACCTTATGCTGTCAAAAAAGGACAGAGATTTATGCTGGATCTTAAGCAAAAGATCCCGCTTTTATTTCAGTTTTTTTTTCAAATATAATGAACACCGAGCAAGCCTTTTATGTGACCATTTGCATCAGAACAAAGACGCCAACCCACAGGTGTAAGCTACAGTCCAAAGAACACAGACATGACGATGCTGTGACCTTAAAAGCCTGATCACTTCAATATTATGGCTTACCTTTGAACATTTTGTGAAGGCCAGATTTCACAGCTAGCAGAGGTAAGGCTCTTTGCTAAATGGATGGTGTTTCTCTTAGTAGTTTATGTTCCTGCACATGTGTGAACGTCACTGTTATGCAAGAAATGTTCTGCGGTGAACAAAGTTACAGATGAGGACTATATATTTTGCAGAGGGACTGATAATAGTTCATTTTAAAACACATCGCTGCTGCCGAATGTCAGTCCTCAAATCAACTACGTCCTCTCGAGGTCAGCTGTATTCATATGTGAATGTGAAATTTCCGGGGGCCTCACTGAAACGTGCAGCGTGGCGCTCAAGAGAATAAGCCGTAGAAATATAAATGAAGATCAATCTAATTAAAGAATATTTCTAAAAACGCTATGGATTGAGTTTGTTCTTAGCCAGTATAAATTATAATATCAATCACACATACATTCAATTTCCAGCATGTGAAAAGTGGTAAGCCAAAGAACTACACATTTTAAAATGTTTAAAACTACACAAAATGATTGCCCGAAAAGAGCCAGAAAGAAATCCTTCCCAAACCGTGCAAGGCAATACTTTTTAGATCGTTTTGCAAAAATGACATTGCGCCATGTCAGTCTGCGTTTATTAACCAGTGACAAGTTAGGTCAATTAATGCAAAACTAGAATATTTGGCAGAGTTCCTAAAAGCTTTATTGATTTGCCATCAAAGAAAAAATCAGCTGTACAATCGCATCCATGGGTTTCAGAATGAGGAGAAATTTGGACTGTTTTTTTGTCATCCATCTATCAAAGCAAAGAACGTCTGTGCAGCACAAGCTATTGGGCAATGTTGTGATGCTTAAGTTTTCCCATTAAAGAAGCAGTAAATAGTACACATCAAAATGATTATTTGTATTTAAACATGCATTATATTTGGGGGAATTTCCTCAAAATGTGGCAAAAACCAATCAATGTCGTTGCATATACATCGTCAACCTATAATCTTATAATTACTGCATTGTGTTAATCTAACGGTGATTGATAGTGAGCGTGCTGGCCTGCTGGGTGATACTTAAATCTAGTGACATTTGTAGACTGATCTTTAGCTTTGTGAGGGTTGTGTCCATAATGTCTTTGGAACGTTTCTGAAGCAGTTTGTGTGAAGGAACTCAAGCTGCTCTTCTGTAATGAAAGGAAAATGACTTGGCAAATGGCTCCAAGGAAACTTAAGTGCTTCACAGAAGGAGATGTTCATGCCGGGCATATAAGATTATAGCTGGGATTAGAACACATGCTACAATTTTTATGCTACCTGTCAATAGTTTGGGTTGTGAAATTGTTATCCATCATAATATATAGTTATAGAATGTTTATATATTTAATTTTTAAAGCATTGGTTTTGTACAGCGCTTTTTAGGACACTCAAAGATGTTTCATAAGTCAATATTCTTTCACTTCATACAGTGGTGATAAACTACTATGTAGCCACAGCTGGTCGGCCCTTCCGACCACCACCAGCCAGTCACACACCAGACTCTTTCTAATGAGGGAGAGTTGCCTTGCCCAAGGACACGACAACAGTTTGGCACTTTGCAGAGACTTCCCAGAAGTCTCCCATCACAGTACTAACCAGTAAAACTAGTTAAACATAAAACTCTGCAAACTTTAAAACTAAAAGATGATCTCATGAAAAATAATGACATAAAAATCTACAAATAGACACAGAAAAAAAATTACTAAGTTATGAAGACCAAAAAGGTAAATGCGCTTAGCGACAATGCTTCTAAAACTAAAAGGCATCAAACAGACTGCTCTGGAGACTGGACTGGATTCACTTTTAGATGATGTGAACTGACTCGTGTCACTCTATAGTAAACCAGTGCGGTGCGTTTGTGCGTCACACCTCCACATGTGAAGCATAGTTAGCCCCAAATGCACCACAGTTTACTTCAATCTGTTAGTAACTAAGTTTGTTTATTTAATACAATACTTCACTATTTTTTCCTGGTGTATGTACTTTAATTCACTACTTACTATTTCAACGTCTTACCTTAACGTCTAAACTCTAATATCTTTACTTTCTACTCTACATGTTAAACTAGATTACTGACAGTTACTTGGCAGATCGCACATAGAAAGATCTAGGAGAAAGTGTGCCCAATTAATTCATTGTGGCTAGCCATGCTTCTAAATTATTGAATTAATGTGGTAAGCCATGCTTCGAAGGGAAATAATTCATCGTGGTTAGACATACATCCTAGTTTATTTACTAATTCCAAATTCAGATCACAACTTTGTCAGTAAAAGTGTAATGTAGAAGCATTTCAGGCCATTATTTTCTTCAGGGGCCACTTTGGGATATCGCCCCATATTGTGGTTTTCACTTGGTTCATTTTTAGTTTAATTTTACAAAAAGCACTTCAACCAACATGAACTGATTAGAAGATGAGCTAAAGATGTTAAACGAAATACATGTCAAACATATATTTATCTATATTTACCAATGCATATGTCGTTTAATGGCCTTTTGGCACTTTGTAGCTAAAACTGGGACTTTTACAGAAATGTTCCTGTTGTTAAATCAATGAATACATTAAATAGAACCACTTTGATTCTGAATACAAAAGATATCAAATTTACTTGTGTGCCTCTGTAGAGTAAAGTAAGTAAGTAATGTTTATTTATATCGCGCATTTTACAGACCAAGGTCACTCAAAGCACTTCACAAGAGTTCCGATTGACTTTGAAAGGTAAACTCCCCTAGATCAGTAACAGTCTGTGTCACACTCACCATTTGACTTCGGCTTCCATGGTTTAGTGCTCTTTACCATCATGGTGTTTTTATTTTGATGCGGTCTTTATGAATCCAGTTATAAGCCCAAAAAAACCGACCAATCAGGATGCCTTCTGTCCCCAGATTTGGCAATACCGAGTCAGACCGGGTCATAAAAATTGTAATTGGACAGATTTACAGCAGTACTATTTCCTTCTTAGGCATGCGGCGCTTCACTCTCACACAATCATACACCAGTTCTTTAATGTGTTCAATAT